ATAATTCAGTCAACTGGCAAATACATGTTTGAAGATCTCATCATTTTCAATATTTGTTACTAAACTTGAAACAACCTCATAAAGACATTACATTCACTTCAATTGTTACCTGGCAAACTTTGAAAGGTGTCATTTAGAAATATTCAGTAAACTTACTGACAAAATTTAAATGTAAATTTGAAGTCTTCAAGATCTCATCAGTTTCAATATTACTAAACAACCTCAAACAAAAAGATCATAAATACATTATATTGAGTCTAGAAACTGTAGAACTGTTTACAGTTACCTGGTAAATATCACTCAGGATAATTCAGTCAACTGACAAATGCAAGTTTGAAGATCGCATCAATTTCAATATTATTAAACTTGAAACAACAACCTCATAAAAACATTACATTCAACTGTTACCTGGCAAAAATGTCATTTAGTAATATTCAGTCATGATTTGCAGTTATTGTAACTCTCTTAACAACACGTTTTTACCTTATTTTCAATTTCCCTATCAGGTTGGTAAATGTCACTCAGAAATATTAACTATAGTAATGCGGATCTAAGATCTTAAAGTGGGACTGGAAAGGGAAATGTCCAGATGGTCTGGCAAACACATACTGTGTCTTTGTGTTACTGACATTGAACTTATTTCTATCTGTTTCAAACTGAAATTTTATCTTTTAAAATTTATAACTCCATTTGCCCAATATTGAATTGCATTTACCTTTTTATTCCAATTTTTAGTCCCACTTTAACACTTGCTCAATTTGAATTGTCAAATCAATAGTTTGTGACTAAATCTTTTTGTTTTCAAACAGTACTGCTTTGTCCTTACACTTTCGATCAACAGACACAATGTTAGCTGGCCAGTCACACTGTCCTGGCCCCCCAGCAATCCTTCTCCTGCTGTTTGCCATCCACATGTCAATGGATTTCTCTGAGTTGAATTCAGCCAGATCTAGACCTTCAGAAGAAAGCAAGATTAAGTCTGACAATCTCTGTACAGACAAGCTGCTCCGTATGTCGCTCTTTATTCTCTTCTGTGCAGAAAAGGCTCTCTCACACTCTGCAGAGCTGATTGGAAGAGTGAGCATTATTCTCACAAGATGAAGTACATTGCAGAAGTCAGTCTTGTATGGGTCCTTGGTCAGTAGGATTTGCCACAGATCAGAATAAGACTTGTCCCTGAAAGTATTTACAACAAAGAATTTCATGTGTCTCCATTCCGTCTGAACAACTTCCATATTGCATCCTGCAGCCACAACACCATTCCTCTGTCCTGTATTCACATTTGCCCCATCTACACAAAACCCAACAATTCTCAATGACATTTCATCATCACTGATCCCCACTTTTGAAAGAGCAGATTTAGTAGCAGAGATAATGCCTTTAGCATGGCCATGTTCAATGGCAATAACTTCAACAAGTTTATTTTCTGCTTTGCCATTCAACACTGTTCTCACATAAACTGCTTCATTTTCTGACACAGAGCTGTCAGTGGCACCATCAATCATAACTGACGCATAATGAGAGTCACTGATAGATTCCAATGTCTCATCTCTGATCGTGCTTGCAATAGTAGACATCATTTCACCACACCTAACATCGTTACTGTATGCAGGTGTCACAGGTAGCCCATTTTTTGTATTGAAGTAAGAGTAGGGGTTTGAGTTTTGTAAAGGCCATTTCTTCCTTCCCTATACAATAAACTGTGTTAAATTTAACTTTCAAATCTGTTATGTTGATTTGGGGTTAGTAGAGACAAACGCCAAATAACACGTAACAATAAAAAGGGTTTTAATAGGTTGGTAAAAAGGTACAGAAATTGCCTGAGTAGTCAATAACTAGCTCAGCTAAGAACTTCTCTGTCTATCTGTCTTCCCCATGTCAATTGACATGCCACTATTTAAAGTCTTTGTTCACAGACAAGTTCATCTTCAAGAGGGGTGGTAGGTTTCTGACACAACAAAATCCATCAAATCCTTTTTGTTTGATTTGATTTCTGCATCGAGAAATTTCTTGGCAATGTGAGATTTTTCAATTGACTGTTTGCTTGTTTTATTAATGATAAAGTCGCGGCACTTGCCGTGTCTAAGATTTTTTTTATGGGCAAGGACGTTTTCACGTTTAAATTTAGTACTACCATCTACAAAATCAGTTTTTCCAGCCAAAGTTGAACCAGCCCTATGACAAAAATCACAATACATCACGTTTTTTCTCTATTGTAACGAAGCCAGGCAAAAGTTGACAAACAAACTTGTCGGAATTCTTGTACAATGGACTGCTTACTTTCATTTTGTGTGTCATCATTACTTTGTTTATCATTTTGAGTCTCAGTTTCATTCAGCATTTCTACTTTGTTCAAAATGCGACTGTTTCACTCGCAACGTAGAGCCCTGATAGCTATATATATATGTGTGTGTGTGTGTGTGTATATCGATTCTCCCGTCAGGTTCAACGTATGAGGGTCAAGCAGATCAGTTTCCAGGAAACTGACAGCCCGACACCGGCACATAAGATTCAATTATAGTGGTGAAGGTTTCATGCAAGACCATCCACACTTTTTGAAGGGCCGAATACAGAAACCTGGTGCACTACGTGCCACAAGGTTCCCAAACAACCCCCCTCAGGTTTTGAATTCAGAGTTGTCCTTCTCCTAGACCAGTTGCCATCCAAGGCTATAGGACCCAGTCTGTCCTGCTATTTACCCATAGCTGAAGGGAGAAGAGGATTCACACCTTTCCCAAGGGTATTAGCACGTAAATGAATGTAATGGATTCAACCTGGGCTCTGCAATTCCTCAATCCAAGCCAATATCCACTACCCCACCGTGCCTCCATATATATATATATATATATATATATAATATAACCAAGATTTTCTTTTAAAATAAAAAAAAAATACATTTTCAAAAATAATTTCATTCATTTGTGAGTATTTCCTGAAAGTTTCATTAAAATCTGACAATTATTTGACTTTTGCAAAAAATTTCCAAATCAATGTGTTTTTCACTGGGAAAAGTGAAAAAACACTAATCATAATTATTACATCATCCACTGGCGTAAAACAAAACAAAATTTTTAACCAATATTTCGAACATGCTAGAAAGGACTATAAAATGTCAAAAAATAATGTAGAAATATGTTGGTTTTTACTCTTAATAATGACATAAACATTTTGATGGTAAAATTTTGTTTTTATTAAGTTTGGGTCCTTTTTTTTTTTTTCCATCATGCTATGTATGCTGTTTTTCAGCAAAAAAGTGGAGATACCTGTAATAATAATACATTATAATTCCTTGAGCCCAAAGTCTATCTGGTTTGCTACAGTTTCTTAGAAAAATAAAAAATATTTAATAAACTAGGCAACATTTTTCAATTTTTCTCTTTTATGTAAAACTTTTAAACTTTTTTGACTGTCTTAAAAGGTAAATTATGGATAAATATTTGTAAAAATATATTTTAAGAACATAACTACATTAAGTTAAATTTTTGAAAGAAATTTTTTTAAAATAGGAAATTGAAGAAGAAATAAATAAATTGGATAATTTAATATTGTAAATTACATTAAAAAAAAAAACAGATTCATGATTGCAAGGAAATGTGTCCCCCTAAATCAAGTTCTTGTTTTTTGAACTCAACCAGTCTTGGCTGCTCTTGGACAAATTCATACAATGGCCAGCTAATTACTTGAGCCCAGATATCCAATATTTTAGTCTCTGAATTTTTGTAAAGAAATACCTCAGGACAGGAAATCTGCAAGATTTTTTCAAGTTTCATACAAACACATGCTTGAAAAACACTTGATAATGCCATTTGCAATTGTCTGCCAGCTATAAAGTTTCATAAGGCTAAAGTTTGATTTAATCTAATCAAAACAAAATTGGCAAATAAGATTTGTTGAGGGTTTTTATTTCTTAGGGGAGCCATATGCAGGTGAAAAACAACCAACAGTTGTACTCTGGATTATTTAGAAATCTCAAAAGTTGTCAAAATTGATGATACAGAGGGTTCTTCCTCGTCCTCACAGTACCCACCACCCCCATCTTTTTTTCTTTTTTTTTTTTTTTTTTTTTTTTAAGACTTTGCAGGCTTAGTTAAATCACTATACATTGGAGATCAACATTTGCGGTATTCCCTCCCCCCCAAAAAAAACATCCTGCGTATGAAGATGAACTGCATCTGGCAGCAAGGACTCTGATCAGGGGGTTTTGAGGAACGTTGAACCACTTCTTAATTGTTGGCTATTGTTCCCAAGCCCTTCCTAGCCCTGGATGGTAGTATTTGTTAGGGTCCCAACTGTAGTCAAATAGTTAACTCCCCACCCCCGAACTGGGATCAAAACACTATGAAAGTATAAAAAATTTTATAGTAAAGATACCAGTAATACATTTTCATAGTAAAAAAAAAAAAAAATTATGCACAATACATTTCTGTAATATTAACAGCAATATTTTTTTTTTTTTTTTAATTTATCAGTAATGCATTATTACAAAAAAAAAAAAACAGCAACACATTTTTAATAAAAAAAGAAAAATTACTAATGCTCCCAAAACTTTAGCATTAAATGAACCATAAGGAGTTGATATGTTGTGAAACGAACGAAAAAAAAAAGTAGAATTTAGTTAATAAGTTGTTAAGAAAGGATTTCCAAGTTTTGGTGGCCACTCTCTTTTTGCCAGTTGAAATATACAAATTTATAGGGCAAATAGTTTTCTCTTCTTAGAAAACTATTTGCGTCTGTCAATAGACTTGACATTGGGCATTATAGCCTGTTTTTACATGAAGAAAGCACAACCTCAAATATACAAAACATTGTCCCTAAAGAAGCAAGCCTCATAGGTGAATTAAAACCTCTTATTGATATTTCAATATTGAAAACAAAATTGGGAAAATACAAAACTTACAGACCTTTGCAGCTCTCATTTCCTGTACTCTTTAATGTACAGTGGAATTAACTCAATTTTTAAAGGAACTTTTCCATTTTTGCCTAGTATATACAATGGTTTAATGTCCAGTGGAATACTACAGCCAGTTCAGGGTTTCATTGAAGGAGAAAGAAGATCAGATCCAGGCACAAAGAATTTTGCTTGTCCCAAAGGCTTCTCAGCTCTAGTCAAATATTTTTTAGCACAGGCAGGTAAGTTTGTTTTTACATTTAACTTTTCAACATTACTGGGAAGAATGTGTGTGTTTGTATTTATATATATATATATATATATATATATATATATATATAGACATAAAATGAGGGTTCTTTATCTAAATCAAAGTAAATATTGATTTTTTTTTTTATATATTTTTAATCTAACATTATTTCTTATTATGAATGTTATTTTTAGTGGGTACATACGTTTGAGTGGTTACTTTAGTCGGACTTCTTGACCTAGACCAGTTGACATTACTTTTATAGTTTAGGAAAATTTAAAAAAAAAAAAAAAAATGTAACTTTTATAGCAATAAAAATATCAAAGGAAATTAAAACAACAGTTAAAATTTCCAAAAGTTCCTGTATCTTATACACGTTAAATGCACTGCTTTGATTTTCAGTATTTCTTTCTGGTAACTGATAGCATAATATAATGGGTCCCTGTCAATTGGTTTGGATATTCATATAAAGTGGATTGTAAATGATTTTATCTGGGCTTAGAGCAACTGGCAGTTTTATAACAACCAACAGTAAAATCGATATATGAGAGCTTCAGAGCAACCATCTGTTAACAAGTAGGGAAAAGGAAATAAGTAAAACTTTTAGGATCAAGTGATACTCAGCTGGAAGGTAGGGAAATCTGATCATGGGATTATAGTCAGGCTGTATTCTTGTTAAGAGAAGTTAGTCAGACAGTCCTCATTGACTGAAGGGAAAATTAGGTTTGTTAGTCTGTCATGGAGGAAGACAGAAATAGTAGCAATCATGTCCCAAATATCATTTTTCTTCTTGTGCAATATCTCATCTTTAGTTTCTTTGTTGACTATACACCTGGACTTTACCAGTTTTGTTCATACTGATGCAAACAGGAAGCAAACCTGGCATAGAGCAAAAGCTGAAAAGTCAATAGAAAACTCAGGGACGCAGTTGTATATTTACAATAGAAGTCAATTAGTTTTGCTATTATAGTTTTTTGTAAAGAGATGGACCCTTGTTTAGCAACACAAATGAAAACATGACATTTAGTTTCTTGGTTTAAATTGTAATTTTCAAATACCTTACATTTATTTACAAATAAATTGTTGATAAAATTTCGCATATGAAAACCTTATTGATTCTAGCTTTTAGCATTCAACACTCTCAAACCCATCCCATAAATATTGGTTCTCATCATTTGCGGTCAAAATCTCTGCATGACTTCTGACATTTTATGTAAAGCTCTTAATCATAACTATTTTTTATTTTAATCTAATCTTAATAATTTTTCCTCTCCTGAAGCTCTGACTCTATGTGTAACATTTGCATAAAGTTTGCTTTGTCTAAAAGTCAAAGAAATGTTTTTTCTTTATGCACACATTAAAACCTTTAGTACCAATGTTGTTTTCACTGAATTGTAGATATTAATATGATGATTGATTCTCCAGGTACTCAATAACATTTTGTAGGTAGTGTGTGGAGAACAAAATGAAGACAAGGAGCAAATTTCAATAAGGGAATGTTAATAGCATTTGATGTTGGACGTATTAAAAATCATACTTATTATAAAACCCAGGGTGTGTGTCTGTTCATTTATATATTGGATCGGATTTCCTACATTTTTCAACCAATTTCAACAAAATTTCACAGGACTATGTAAAATTACCTTGTGGTGGTTCTGACAGCGCCAAAAATTGAAAACACGATTAAGAGGCATCACTGTCACGAGAATGAAAGGGGGACAACTCATATCAAGTTATACTTATAAAAACCCAGGTTGTTTGTGTGTGTGTGTGTTCATTTATATATAGGATCGGATTTCCTACATTTTTCAATCGGTAGACTCATAACGATTGAAAACAATGTTTTTGTTTGAGTTTGGGCTTGAGCAATTCGTAAAAAAAAAAAACAAGACATGCGTGTCCGTCAACCTTAATCAATAATCTTTGTCAATTTTATTTTTCAGTTTTTATGATGGTCGATACTTGATCTATCTCTTACTGTTACATCCCCGGGCAAAGCTGGGCTTTACTGCTAGTATGTAATAGAATAAGTTAATCTTGCTTGAGCTATCTGTTAATCCAAAAGAAATACATGGGTGGTGGGCAGTGTTACAAGAAATTGTGTAAAAGGGTCCTTCTCTAATTCTAGAAATCCCAGTCTATAGCTTGGGGGTGAGACAAAAACAGAAATGGATTCATACCTCCCCACAAAAATATTAGTGCAAAAGTGAATGCAACAAACTAGATGGGAAATTGAACTTGGTTTGCCAATAACTGTTACTTCTCACATATTTACTGATATAAATGAATAGTTGTGCTTAAATGCTTTATGACCACATAAAGTTAAGCAACATCTAGCCTGGTCAGTACTTCAATGAGTGACCACTTGGAAATACCAGGTGCTGTACGCTTGGATGTGCAGGCTGTGTAATGGATAATGGCTCAGAATTGTTAATCAGAGAAGCAAGTTCCAGCTCTTGTTGGGTTTGTTACATTCACTTGCATGCAAATAACCTTGGGAAAGGTATGAATCCAACCCCCCCCCAACCCCAAAATCAACACTCACTCTCCATTGTATAGGTTAATTAGTAAGACTTGTATCACTTAACTCAAAAAAAAGAAGAGAGAATTTTTACAATCTAAAAATATTTTCTGGCTTTAAATAAGCTGCAAAGGTTTGAGAAGCCATAAAAAATGAATCAGTCATTAAAAATTTAATTTCATTATCTTACTTTTTTTTTTTTTCACCTCTCTCTCTCTCCATTTTAGAGCCAGTAGAAACCAGATATGGTGCTCGTGTTATAAATATAAAGAATGAAGCCACAAATAAATTACAGGTCTTTACTGATTCTGGACACACAGATGTTTTTGATACAGTTATCCTCACAATGCCAGTACCTCAACTCTTCTTGATTGATGGATGTATTCAGGACATATTAGGTAGGTATCTCTCTTCAGACAACTTTGGTATTAGCTCAAAATTTGAGTTTTTGGTTTAAATATTTACATTTTTTTTTTTGTATTATGTTTTCTGCTTTTCAGTGTTAGACTCCTATGTAATATTTTAATCTTACATGGCAGTGAACGTTGAGTAATAATCTCACAGATGAAGAAGAGACATTAAACCACACCTGTTCTACAGAAGGATGCTGGGAATACAATAGACCATGTGCAAAATGGGGAAGGTCTCAAGAATGAGGATGACAAAATTTTTGCTACAACTCAACAATCAAGCTTTCCACTGACCAGCCAATGATTACACTATGTTGAATTTCAATTCTCAATCTCAGTGTACACCAAAAGCTATGCAAGGGCCAGTTTCATGCTCACAAGGTAATACAATGGAAGACAAATGCCACATCAACGATTAAGAACACAAACCTTGTTTCCCCATATTGTAAAATAGATATTTCATTCTGGGCTCGTCTTTGGGTGATACTTGGGACAACTTCTGCTATGTTGATCTAACAGCTTTGTTAGATCAAGATAAAACCACATCTTCTTTTTCTACAGGGACATCCATAGTATCACATAACAATAAAAAAATAGCATGACATTTCTACGACACGTAATACGGAAATAAATAATTCTTGGAAAATTTAACACCCACAGGGCATATTAAAAGCAAAAGATGACAAGGAAGCAAATATCTTGACAAGTGACAAAGCACAAAAGTGCAAGAGATACTCAGAGCAACAAAAGAGAGGAAGCTGTAGAGAGCCATGATCACCCATGTCCTGAAGAAGACATCACATGAAAGACTAAGAGTGTGCTTTCAAAACCCCTTTTTCCTTGATTCATATGCCAAATATTTTGGATAGCACAATCATTAACAGTTAACTCTTGCCACACTGCAGGTGACAATAGTCACCATAGAATTCTCTCCCTTACTAGTATCGGCGACTTCTGTCACCCAAGACAGTTGCTATAATTGTCAACTGTTATTTCTGGTATTTTAAGCTGGAAATCACCAACTACTGCTTTGGAACAAGGCTAAACTTCCATTTTCCAACACCATTTTGAATTCTTCTAGACTGTACATAAAGTTTAACATTGATTAAACCCACATTAATTTTTTTCACAATTTTTTGTAAACAAACATGGCCATGTCAATATCCAACAAAGCCTTTATTCAGGAGTTTTTCTTTGATTAACACTCCAATGATGATTTTAAAGATTTTACTTGAGTGGATATTGATGGTGAAGTGATCAGAGATGATAACCACACTAGTGACATGGAGGAAAGCGATGATGGAGTAATATAACTTTATTTGTCAACGAGACAAATAAATATGAGGTGAAAGAAAGAGCAAACAAATGCTAGTGTCTTCTCATATGTAAACATGAGGAAACACATCACTTTTTTGATGAAATGAAAGCCTTTTTAGCAGTTTTGTTTCTTATTGCACCTCCAGATCTCCACAAGGAGTAATCAAAGTTAAAATACATTGAATTATTTATGTATTTTTTAATATATGTGCTTTTTATTTCACATTTCAATTTTTTTTGTTTTCAACATTAAAATATGCATGCAAGACATAATGCATTACATCAAAATATTACTCATCCATTCTTTTAATAGTGTACAAAAATTGAAATCTATACACACACAATACAAAGAAAGTTTTAACAATTTTAAAACAGTAGGTGTTCATGATTTTGCACCGTCCCAAAAAAATGCAGCAGCAGGGGGAACAATTCTAGAAAGAAATTAGTGTAGTAACAGTTAAAAGAGCATATATGTATTATATCAAACATTATTAAAGTTAATACTTCATATTTGAAATAGATGCCTCCTCCTCTTACCCTCATTTTTTTTTTCTTTACTGCTCAGCCACAGAGAACTTGGCAGCAAGTTTGTATTTTCCCTTTTTAAGGAAAGTACATTTTCTTCACCCAAATATTATTTTCTTGAAAACTTTGTATCTTCTCAGTTTCGTATTCAAAAAAAAAGACAGTAGATTTTTATGCCTTTTCTATTACTTTAAATTTTATCATAGTGGATACTTCATATTTTAAATAGACATTTGATTTAATTTTTATATATATATATATATATATATATTACTGATACCTGATGAGCAGATCGAATGATTGTGAAAAGGTTCATCAATGAAATATTGAAGTCGAGGTACTGAATATAATATCAATCAACTAAGCGGCAAATTTGATATTTCTATAAATCCTAATTCATCCTTGTGTTGGCCTCAGTGTACACTTTTATATTTACATGTATTCTATCCTTAATAATGAACACTTTTCTTTTACCCATTAATATAGTATAGCTTAAAAACTATATTTTTATCATACATATACATGTAAAAAAAAAAATTTCATATATAGCATATCTGTAAAAGGGCAATGAATAAAGACTAACAGAAAATTTATCTTAGTCAACGCATTTCATCCTCTTTATCAAAGCAAATCTAAGGATTCTATTTTGTGACAAGTATTTATATAGAAGAGCAAAAGATACAGGGAAAATTTAGAAACCCAGAAACTGAGTTCCACACACTTAGAGAAATGATCTTGATGCCTTATTCTGAATTGTTTCAACCAGGACTGAATGTTGCAGTACAATACTACATTGAACAATTGACTTGTTTAAATGTCACATTGGAAGAGAAGACTTTCCTTCTTCTTTCTCCTCTATTCATTTTTTTCCTTTTCCTTTTTTTTCTTTCTTTTTCTTTCTTTTCTTTTTTCTTTCATTTTTAAGCAAAGAAATTGACTGATTTTGCTTTATTATAAAGCCCGTTTTTTATATCGCAACTGTAAAGCAACAATTGATTATGTAACAGACAAGGAAATTCTGTTTTCTATTCTTCTGGCTTATTACTTTCAGATTGTTCTTTTAATACGAATTTGTAATCAGTAGGGATTATTCCAAGGAGGACTTTAATCCAATAAGAGCTCAATGTAAGTTGCAGAGCAATAAAAAGCACCTTAAAAATTTAAATTTAAAATTCCCTAAAATATTGACTTTAGGAGCTATTCTCACAAAATGTTGATTCTTATTTTATATGGGTACAAACATGTGTACGTGTATTCGTATCTATGTATGTGTATATGTAGTTATATTGCTTGTCACACATTTTTATATATATAGATCTGTAGATATATTTAATTATGTGATTGTCTTGCTAACACCTACATCATTTATAATTTTTTTATTTTATATTTTACTATTATTAACCTTTACTACACCAAATTCCTTGTAGAATTGTTCCCCCACTACTGCATAGGTTTGTTTAAATGTTTAATACATGAGGACTTCAAAGAGACTTAATTAGCAATGATCATGCCTTTTTTTTCTTCTTCTTCCCCTAAGAATCAAAGCCTGACTTAAAGAAGAAACTGCAGGCAGTGACATATTCATCTCGTTTTTGCCTTGGTATTTATTATCCACGTGGAACCCACTTGAATATACCTTGGACAGCCAAATATATAGACGGTCATCCTTGCATCAGATATGTATGTGTAGACAGTTGTAAAAGAGGAGCAGGTAAGAAAATTTAGATGTTTTTTTTTTTTTTTTTTTTTTACTAGAATTGTATTTCTCTACACAATCAAAATTATCTTGTGTTAGGTTTAAAAATTGTTTCGTGTTTGCAACATTTTTATGTTTTTAAGCATTGGATTAAAGATCTTATTTTTCTTTGTTTCTTTCTGCAGTTTACTCTGTTCTAGAAATTAACTGATATAACCATTTCCTGCTTTAAAAGTTGTTTTCTCCCATCCTACTACACATCATTATTATCTATTTATTTTATTAATGAATATGAATCATGATAACTGTTTGCATCATTTATTTAGGCTGTTGTTATCATTTTTATTGCCATATTCACAATGTTTCAGCTGTTGTACACTCTGGCCTTCTTCAGGTGATATACATTGGAATTTTAAACCAAACCCTTTATTTAAGTCCATGGAGGTTCAGTGAATAAAAGCATTGGTTGAGTACTCCAAAAAGTGACTTGACCCAAAGAGTTGTGAGTTCAATACCTGGCCACATGTGGGCAAATAGTGAACCCTCTCATCAACAAAAACAAAACCCCTATGAAAATACATTTTTATAGTAAATAGAATACCAGCAGTACATTTTTATGGTAAAATGACACGCAATACATTTTATAGAAAAATAACCAACAATACATTTTCTGTAGTTGAAGGCATAGAATTGTGTTCAAAATATATTTAGTTGAAGCCATAATATTGTTAAAATACTTAGATTTTTGGCATTAAATAACCCATAGAGGTTGATATGTCACTAAACATGATCAACCAACCAAATCCCACTCATGCACATCTTAGGTGTGTTTATGTCAATCAAATATTCACATGTCAGGACAGCTGTTGACATTGGATGAATTATAGAACTCCACCTGCAATTAGGTCATCTCTCACCACCTGGTTTCTCTGAGTGCAAAGTTCATTCCGGCATGATCTGAGGTGCAAGCCACATACTACACAAATATTTGAAATAGAATGTTTTCTTTTTGCTTTTTCTCCCTCAACTTGAATAGCATTTTTTTTATAATCAGTTTTGACAAAAATTGAATATTGTGACTGATGTTGAAACATTGCACATTTGTTTACATTTTTCTAGATGAGGATTTGGTTGGACCTTCGCTTTTGGTTCACACAAGTGTGCCATATTCCATTCAGCATGTGGAAGCAGATAAAGAAGCTATGAAACCAATTTTGATGGAATTCCTAAATGACTTGTTACCAAATCTTCCCCAGCCAGATTTCATCAAAAGCCACAAATGGCGATATTCTCAGGTAAGTGGCAGGTGGGTGTCCTGCTCTCCCTCTACACACCCAAGTACTCGCATGCATATACGCGCACACAATGATAATATAAAATCAATATAGATCTTAGTTTGCTTGAGTTTTAATTTGATGCCAATTACCTTTCTGTTTTTAGCTGAAATAATTTTACATGTTGTTCTTTTTCCATTGGTTCCCAAAAGTGAACATCTACTTTCAACATCTTGCATAACATAATTCTGTACAGAACAGCATCAGTCAGCTTGTCCTGGAGCACACACTTCAATATCAATTATGCTCATTTTGTTTTGAAGAAAGTAAGGGATGTACAGATAGTGTAATGGATAGCGGCTCAGGACAAGAAATTGGAGATCTGTGTTCGAACTCAATTTGGGTTCTTCACATTCATTTATGCACAAATACCCTTGGAAAAGGTATGAATCCATCTCTTCTTCCCCCAGCTATGAGTTGAATAGCAGGACAGGCTTATTTATAGCTTTGGTTGGCAACCAATCTACCACAGAAAGAAATATAATGCGGGGAAAATCAGCTGTCTAGTCAATCATGAATCAAGAAAAATGAACACCCAAGTATGACTCTTAAACTGAAGGTAGACAACTCTTTTATCCTCTCTTTGGTTTTTATTCTATCACACATTTGTATTCATCTTTGTTAGAAAATTTTTAATAGAATATTAACCTTTACCCTGCTAATTTCTTTCTAGAATTTTTCCCCCTCCCACTGCATTTTTTTTTTTTTTTTTTTTTTTTTTTTTGAGGGTGCAAAAACATAAACACCTACTATTTTAAAATTGTTACAACTTTCTTTGTATTGTGTGTATAGATTTTATTTTTTGTAGATTAATAAAAGAATGAATGAGTAATATGTTTTAAAATGTATCATCTAAATCCGAATAAAAAAAAAACTCCTGAATAAAGGCTTCATTGGGTGTTAATGTGGCTATTTTTGTTTACAAAAAAATTTGCGAAAAAATTAACTTGTTTAACCAATGTTACACCTGATATAGAGTCTAGAAGAATTCAAAATGGCATCAGAAAATGTAAGTTTAACCTTGTTCCAAAACAGTAGTACACGATTTCCAGCTTAAAATACTGGCAATAACAATTGACAAGTGTTTATTTACAGCAACTGTCTCAAGACAGCAGAATGCACCTAGAGCAACAAAGGGAGAGTATTCTACAGCAACAATTTTCACCTCCAGCATGGTAAAGTTTAAGAGTTAAAGGGCTTTATTTGTCCAATGTAAATATTGACATAAGCAAATTATAATTCTTTAGCAAATTGAGATTACCCAAAAAGCTGATTTGTATATAGATAGCGGCTTGGATTGAGGAATCGGAGAGTTCAAATTCCAGTTGAATCCATTACATTCACTTACATCCTTGGAAAAGGTATGAATCCTCTTCTTCTCCCTCCAGCTATGGGTGAATAGCAGGACAGTCTGCTGCAGAAAGAAATGGCAACTTACTGTGGAGGGAAATCTGCCTAGTCAGTCATGTATCTTTCAATACATGATCACCTAAGTGTGTATCACGCATGGCACATAACTGACTGTTAAATAGGATTCTATGGCTGATACTAAAAAAAAAAAAAAACCTGAATATATGTTTAACTTGGAAATATATATAATGCATATAAATACCTTTTTCTTGTTTTCTTATTACTTTATAATCTTCAAATATTTGTATGTGTTATCATCACCTTTTATCTTGAATCCTGTTCTTTTATTGTTTCTTTTACTCTCGGTACCCCCCCCCCCTTTTGCACCTTAGTGAGTTTTATAGCCTTGCTTCAGGTAAAATGATTCAAGAAGAAAAGCAATTGTAAAGTATTTTTCTATTGATCACTCTAAAAGTAATTTACAATGCTTATTCAGCACTTTGTGCATTGAAAATCATGACAAAAAGTGACTGTCAGAATTTAGAAAGGATGAATTCCTCCTGAGAGAAATAATTGTTTTTGAGGCAATTTAAATGTTGGTTTCAATCTACACTTGGAATGCCTGCAACACTCCCCCCCCTTCCCTTTTATAGACAGAAACACACAAATGCATGCTGCAATTTCTTCTGAGCCAATAAAATAGGCTACTTGTTGGCTTCATCTGACTCAGTCTCAGTCTGTCTTGTCTTGATGCCAGAATGCTACATTTGCTTATCTAAACTGGCTCTTTTGTGTCAACCCTAATTCTTAGTTTGTGAGCTTTTATGTCATATTACTGTTACTTTGGCTTATTATTGTTAATTTGCCTTGTATGTATTGTTTGCTTGTTTTTTTTTTTGTTATTGTTGTTTTTTCCATTCTTTTCCTTGTTATTGCTTATTGCAAACTTTGTCAATTCTGTTTGCTTAGTGATTCTGTCATTTATTTTACATTTGACCATGACCACTTACCCTACATGAAAATTTTGCAACTTCTGTTATTTTGTCAGTGTTTAGATCTGTCATTTGATGAGAACTGATCCATTTTAGTGGTTAATTCTGTTTATTTTTTGCCTTATTTTCCTCAATTCATTCCCTATTTCTTCATATTAATCAGAAAGATTTGCCTTTATCATTGCATTAAATTTTACCTCCAGATATAATTTGAGTAGAACTTACAATATTTACAGGTTGCTATTGACTGGTGCAAGACATCTTTAAATATAGATAAGTGAATAAGTTTATTTCCTTTCATGTATGAATCTTGGCATAAATGTAATTTCTTTGATAAAGAAAAAGAGATTCAAATAGGTAATTGTCTTTATTTTCCAACAATGGTCTTGTGATTTATTAGCCTTATAAAAATGTTTTCAATTTTTGCAGGTATCAAAAACCTTTGAAGGTAGCTCTGGCTGCATCTCTCTTCTTGATGAGCCACCGATATTAATCGGTGGTGATGCTTTCACACGGTCAAAGTTTGATGGGTGCATCCAATCTGCAGAAACCCTTGTTTCTTTCATCTTGAAAGGGAATCTTCTCAAAGCAACTGGTAGCTGAGCCATGCTTGGAAATAAATGTAAATTGATTTTAGATAAAATGTTAAAAACTGAGTTGGTTTGTGTGCCAACATGAGGCTGCCTCGTAGAAGACATTTTTATTTTATTATATTTTCTGTTAATATAACTCATTTAACTCCCTGATAATACACTTCAATAGATTGATTGTATCATGCTGTTAAATATTAAATGGTATTTTTTGTTAAAAATGTTTTTCTGTTTTTTCTATCTCGTGTGTGTTTAATGTGTGTGTGTCACCTATTTCATAAAGGTTACCAACCAGCTAGATGGAACATTTTGATGAAATTCATATATATATGTGTGTGTGTGTGTATATATATATATATATATATATATATATAACTTTTACAAGTTTACAAATAAGTTATTTATTTACAATTGGCTAAACTTTTTCCAGTGTGTGTGTGTGTAAAGAAATAATAGATGTATTTTGGACCCCCCCCTTCTTAATACTTCAAACAATATTATTTTTACTGGGTGAATCATTCTACCCCCAAGTGTGTATTACATCTGTCAGCCTTCACACTCAAAGAACTTAATAAAGAAAATCCTGTTCAAGAGTACATTTTCTTAAACTTTCTCAAGTATGCAAGCAAATCAACATGATACACAGTCTAAAAAAAAAAAAAAATTTAAATACTGGTGAAAGTTTTCAAACTTTAATCATATTAACACAGCTGGCATACTAGCCTATCAGGATTAGTACAATATGCATTCATTAATTTTATTTTGCTACTCTTATGCAAACCTGGAGAGTGAGGTCTGGGTATCTCCCGCCCAAATATGAGAACAATACTCATTTGACCTCTTCGGTTCTGGAGGACTGGCTGTTGATAATTTCCTGTTTGGTAGGATTTTAAGATCGGAAAGTCTCTTCCAATCATAACTGGAGAGTTTGTGTAGTAAGCTTTTGTGCCACACCTTATCAAAAGCCTTTGAGATATCTAGTTCTATGCTCCTTGGGGTGTATTTGTCATCAAGAGTTTTACTGATTCTGTGAGTGAAGGTTGTTAAGATATTGGCAGTGGATCAGGCCAACCAAAACCTATTCTGTTCATTGCTGAAGAGTTTGTTCTGTTCTAGGTGCTTGACAACCTTATAGATTATGGCCTCAAAAAGCTTGCTGATTATACCGAGGAGTCTGTTGGGTCTGTACTGAGAGGGGGAAGATCGCAAAGCCAAGTTCTTGAAAACTGGGCATATGCTTATGTTGTATCCTTAAAGAGGCTACAAACAGACGAACAAACAAGCAGCTTTAGTAGGATTAGGGATAATTCCAAGTTGATATTCTTAAGGACAATCACTGGAACTTTGTCTGGACCTGGGGCTTTCTAAGACTTCTGGTTCTGTGATTGTAATATTACTGAGATTGTGCTCAGTTTGAGACAAGGGGATGGTCTTTGTCATCTAACATTGACTTGGAGGCAAAGATGTTTGCATTATCTCTTGAGGAAGATATGACCTTGGGTCCATTTATAATTGTGGGCACAGCTGCTTTACCTTTGTTGATGATTTGATTGGTGATCTTCCAGAATTCACAGAATCAATTTTTTTTTCTTTTCAATCTTTTTCTGGACTGCTCATGTGTGGCTGCACTTGGCATTTTCTGTAACTTTTTTTGCAGGCAGTCCTGAATGCTGTGAGAGCAAAACTACATCACTCCTTGTGATAGATATTGTAGTGATTTTGAGTGAATTATGGCTGCAGATCATTCAGGAGAGAACCAGAGTTGACTACTTGGTTTTTGTTGCAATTTTGTTTTGGGTATAAAACTCCATTCCAGAAAGGATCCAGTCAGTGACAAGGGCAGAAGTTTTAGAGGTTGCAGACTTGAAGATTGAAAAAGAATTTTCCATCATATACAGTCAAAATCTGTCCCAGTCTTCTTTCACATAGTGAAAAATCATTCTATGGAACTGTACATTATGGGATGCCATAGGATTGGTATCAATCTGGATATTGATTAGGGAATGGTTTGATATGCCTCATGGAGGTTAAACTTTTGATAGATATTCATCAGAGCAGGAGCTTAGGAAGAGGTTGATATTCTGACATGTCCAGGACCACAGTACATTCTCCAATGGTCTGCACTTGTTCATACGTAATGGAGAAGTCTCTGCAATATCTGCCTTCAACATTGGTTTTGGAGTGGACTAGCCACTCTTTTTGTTGGATATTGAAGTCACCACAGATATGAAAGCTTGCCGATGAGAATTGAGTGAGGATATTATCTATCATCTAAGATTACCATCCCTTCAAGTTATCTGTTCAACATAAAAAAAAAATTTTCAGGTTTACAAAGGAAAAGCATTATGGATCAAAGGGAGGGTTATGATGTGAAAAAGCTATAAAATTTTAAAGATTTAACTTAGAATAAGTCACAATATCCCCATTTTTATATAGACCCTACTGTTAGTAACCCACACATGAGAAAACTTGCATTAAATATACAGGACTTGTGAATTAATAAATTAATCCGGACCATCAAGCACGTGGTACAGGGCTGAGTAACATGCGTCACAGTATTCTACTGGGCCATTGAGTATGTGGTATGGTGCTGTAGACCACGCGCTACCAGGCCATGGACACATTCAACTGGGCGTGGACCATGATATACCAGGCTCTGGACCATATTGTACCAAGCTGTTGAAATTGTAATAAGGCCTGTGGACCATGTGTTACTGGGTCCTGGACTATATTCTATCAGGCCATCAATCCATGAGTTTTAGAGTGGTGTATGATGTGCTACCAGGCTGTGGACACATTCTACCAAGCTGTGGAACATGACATAGTTGGCCCTAGACCATATTTTAATGGGTCATAAACTATGTGTTACTTTGTACCATGTACTACCAATCTGTGGATCATGAGTTATCGTTACCTGTACCATACTGGGCCATCAAGAATGTGTTACAGAGTTGTGTACTGGGCCATTGACTGGTAAAGGACTCTGTACAATGTGCTACTGTGTCATGAACCATGAATTACTGTGCCTGGAACATGTTGTAATGGGCCATTGACTATGTGATATAAGTCAGTGTATTATGTGTTACCGGTCTGTGGACATGTTCTACCAGTCTGTGGACCATGAATTACTGGGCCAATGTCCATGTGGTTCAGTGCTGTGTACCATGTGCTATTGGGCCATGGACAATGCATTGCTGTGCCCTGGAACATATTGTACCAGGCAATTGGCCATGTGGTATAATTCTGTGTACTATATGTTACTGGGCCATGGACACATTATACAGGGTTGTGAACTATGAATTACTGGGCCATTGATCATATGGAACAGGGACCTATATCATGTGCTACTGAGCTGTGGACACATTCTACCAAGCTGTGGACCATGTGATACCACACCCTTGACCATATTGTACTATGCCATTGGCCATATAGTACACAGCTGTGTAACGTGCTATCAGGCTATTGATACATTCTACCTGGATGTGGACCATGCTTTACTGAGCGATAGACTATATACTACTGGGCCATTGACCATGTAGTAGCTGGCTATATACCATGTACTCCTAGGCTGTGGCCATGTTCTAATGGGTCATGGACCGTGAATTAACAGGCCTTGGACCATATTGTTACCAGGTCATTGACTATTTTTAGTGCCGTGTTCTATTTGACACCAGTTCATGTATCATGAGTTACTGTGCCATGGTCTCTATTTTACTGGGCTATTGATAATCTTGTAAAGGTCCTATACCCTTTGCTACTGGGCCATGAATTTCCAAGCCCTGAACTGTAATGTACCGGACCAGTGACCATATGGTTCAGATTCAGTCTGTGGAAATTGAGTTACTGGGCCCTGCGTACCAAGTATTACCTGACCATGGGAACATCCTACAGGGCCATGGACTATGAGTTACCATGCCCTGGACCATATTGTGACAGGCCATTGACCACATGTTATATGTCTCTGCACTTTGTACTATTAGAACGTGGATATGTTTTACTGGGCTGTGGACCATCTGTTACAGGGCCCTGGACCATAATATACTGTGCCGTTGACCATGTGTTATCAGGCCATGGACATATTCTACCAGGTGGTGGACCATATTGTACCTGGCCATTGACCATGTGGTACAGAGCCCTGTACCATTTGCTACTGGGCCATGGAACATGGGTACCAGGCCCTGGATTATAATGTACTGGGCTATTGATCTTATGTTACAGGGTTATGTAGCATGTGCTAGCAAACCGTTGACATGTTCTACTGGGACATGACCATGATTTACCAGATTCCGAATGAATGGAATGGCTAATTATGAATTTAGGTCTACGAGAAAGACAAATTGTTCAGCTACAACAAAGGTTTTTAGAGAAGATTAGTTGGCTCTAATTGAATGTAGGATGATCGGAATTGCCAAATATGAATTCATATCTACGGAAAAGTCAAATATTCAGCAATATAAAAAGGTTTGCAGGTATGTTTAGTTGGATTCAATCAAATGCCAGATGAACAGAATTGTAAATTATGAATTTATATCTGCAGAAAAGACAAACATTCAACTATATTAGAAAAGATTTAACGTAAGGTTAGTTGGATTCAATCAAATGATGGATGATTTTGTTTGGTTTCGTTTATTTTATGGCATGTCAACCACAATGGATTATTTAAATTTGAGAAGATTTTTATTGCTTGTAATATTTTCTTTCAAAAATATATTGCTAGCAATATTTTTCTTTTTAAGATGCATTGCTAGTAATTTGGTTTTTCAAAATTGTTTTGCTAGAAATTTTTTTTTTTTATATATATATATATTGCTTGTAGTTTTTTGCCAAAAATGTATTGCTGGTAATAATTTTTTCCAAAAAATATATTACTGGTATTAAAACCTATATTTACACTACTTGCCTCAGAGTGTTTTCAGAAAAAAAAAACATATAATGAACTTCTCACTCAGCCTGAAATAAGTGCAGATAAGAATTATACTGTCATCTTCAATTTAATGGTATGATAAAAGTTTC